AATGATTCACACACTTTACTTATGGTGCCTACTGTTCGCTTGACTCAATTATCTATATCTTCAATCTATCTGTCTGTCTATATCGCTGGCTTTCTTTGCCAGGCTTATATACTAAAAAAGAGAGCATCTAGCAAACACTCGGACATTTGCGGGGTTCCCTGATAATTCTAGAAACTCCAGCGCACATGCTCCAAGCGTCACACGACTTCCGCTGTCATAACAATAATATTGTCGAAATTTCGTACGCTTAGAATAAAGGTTTTTCATTACCCAGTCAAGCTGTCTCCAAACTTTTAATTCTAAAAAGTGGGGTCCTAGTCATCAAAGACTAGAAGGAAGACAAGCATGTTCAGTAATGGAATTCAAACATGCAACTTGCAGACTGTACATCGAGCAACCTCATCAACAGGCCATACCAGACTCGTGCTAAAGAATGAGTTTTTAGAAAGTAATATTTATCTTGCTAATTCTGAGAGTTGTGTATGGTAAAGAATGGGTTTCTGGAAAGTAATATATTAGTTATGAGAGTTTTGTATGGTGAAGAATGAATCTCTGGAAAGTAATACTTATCATCTTAATTCATACCAGGAGAGGATCGATGGCTGTGTACCCTTCTTCTTCAGCAAGGCTATAAGGTTGAGTACAGTGCTGCATCAGATGCCTACACACACTGTCCAGAGTCGTTCAAGGAATTCTACACACAGAGGCGTCGCTGGGCACCATCAACCTTGGCAAACATATTGCAACTACTAAGCAATTATAAAAAAACTGTGGCTCTTAATGGTAACATTTCTTATCTGTACATCATGTATCAAAGTTTACTTATGATTGGTACAGTCCTGGGTCCTGGGACTATCTTTCTGATGCTGCTTGGTGCTATGGTAGCTGCCTTACAAATTGACAACTGGACATCTTTGTGGATCAACATTATCCCCATAATTTTCTTCACACTTATCTGCTTTCTGGCCAAGAATGATACACAGGTATGGTAAATCTTATGTGGCCGCTATTTCAAATATCTGCATGTTGTTCTTAGTTAAATTGTAGATGAGAAGACACCAAACCAGTGTCAGGTTTTTGTATAGGGGCCGGATTCTTTACAGTAGGTGTCTGTGGCTTGTTGGCGATAAATTTCAGCAATAAAACGAACAGCACACAATCCACTTGTTTTAAATTAATATATTCAAAACAAGTCAAACGTATGTACAAAAAACCTTCGTCACACTATTGGTTACTACAGTTAAATCTACAGCTTTAAATAATTCTCTTTTTCGTCAAAAGTCCACAGAGCCTGGTTCAGTTACTTTAGACCACAATTGACAAGACGGATTATTTCTTCTCTACTCTTTTATCACAACAGAATTAGTGATAAGTTCACTTACGTAACCTCATGGGTTATTACAGTTGTATCCAGTTAAATAATTCTCTTTTACATCAAAAGTCCACACAGACTGGTTCGGTTACTTTAGAACACAATTGAAAAGACGAATTATTATTTTATATCTCTGTTATTATAATACAAACTGTGAAACTTTCACTTTCGAAATCACCCTTTACAGCTAAACTGACAATCACGCAGTTTACCTTCACTTTCACTAACTTAACTAGACTCGCTCTAACTTGTTCACCTATATATATGTTACACTATGATGCAACAGTACTCACTTAAAGCAACGAGAAAAATACAGAACGTGACGTCAATTCAAAACTACTGAACTATACAACAAATGATTCGTAAACATTTATGTAAGCAGACTTGCCATAAGTATTGCTTCTAAAAATAACTTACTTTAATGCTCGCAAAATATAAACTAAATAATACTCTCTTATTAAACTTAAAATGAACAGTCGTGTATATCTAACAACCAGCAACATATATTAGTTCACAAAATATTTATTATAGTATAGATTTACAATTCAACAAGCATTTTCCCTCAGTACTTGAACTTAAACTATTTTAATAACTGATACACTTTAATGGAAAGTAATAATTCAAATTTTTGAGAAAACGAAATAGTTTTAATAATGTAATTTTAATTAATAATTATTTAGTATAAGCAATAAAAGTTAAAAATATAATTTATGGTTGTTTAGATCTTTCTCTAGTTTCTTCTTAGAATGTAAATAAAATTATTTGGTTTACTATCTGGTTACTTTTAGGCTTCATTTTTTTAAGATTAGTTTAATCGTCTCTCTAATTATAATGCCTTTTTTTGGAATATATGTTCAAATGTAAGCGTTTCTTGTTTTATTTTAAAGAAACCCTTTGTTATTGTAATACCTCTTCAGTTTTGAAGCCAAACTTGTATTTGTTACAGGTTCTTGTGGCTCAGATTCTGAGTGGAGTATATTCATTGCTCATGATGACTGTGCTGGTGGGTACTGCCATACAAATGAAAGAAGACGGCATTGGCTCACCTTCTGCAATCTTTCTGATAGCGCTGACATTAAGTTTTGTGATAGCAGCTCTTATTCACCCCCAAGAAATCAGTTGTGTATTTTATGGTATCTTGTATTTCATTTGTATCCCATCCATGTACCTCCTGCTGACTGTATATTTTCTTATCAATCTGAATAATGTTAACTGGGGTACTCGTGACGACCAGTCCAGCAAAGCAGAGCAAGAAAAAACCAAGGAGAAAACTCATTCGCTATGTGGTAAAAGAACTGAGAACGAAGAAGATGGAGGAATAATGTGTGGTCTTGCTAATGTTTTTAAATGCATGCTTTGTACATATCCAAAAACAAATGAGCAAAATGCAGAACTTCTTAAGATTAATGAGAAACTAGAAACATTGATGAGGAAGATGGAAGCAGAAAGAGGTACAGCTTTTCAACGGCGATCCTCTGTTACTTTTCAATCCAACAAAACTGTTAAGTCTTTGTCACCAATCACAGAAGAGGCAGTAAGTGAACCAGAAAGTATAAACAATGGTAAGTAGATTATTGTTGCTCAGCAATTGTTTTAAAATGATAAAAAAAAATGATTTTCTATAAATTCTCAAAAATATTTATACACAAAGCTATAATTTCATGGTGTACACCGATAATTCCATTAAAAAAAAATCGAAGTGTTTTTGAAGACTTTCTTAATATTAGAAGTAGAGGTAGAAAAAAATGATGGAAAATATAACCATATACATCCATTTCTTTGGCTGATCCTTCTCAGCTTTGAGACAAGCCAATTTAAAGATTTATACAGGCATTAAAATAAACAAAAGGAAAATTTATATTTTTTAAATTGCATTTAGATATTTATTAAGATTAATTTTGGTAATGTTTCATGTGATATATAAAACTAGTAAGCACTGTGTAATTATGGTAATGTTACATGAGATGGGTTAAACTAGTAAGCCCTGTTTTAAGTTATTACAAAAGCTTATTTTGAAAATTTTAACATAATGGATTCGTTCACATCATTTTTCTCATGTAGATAATATCTCAGACAGAGATGAAAATCCAAAATCTACCTGGATTGAAGACACAATTTTGAAAGAGGGAAAATTATTCAAACTTTCTGATAAAGAATCGTCATTCTTTCGAGAACTGATTGATACATACTTATTTCCTCTTTCTAAAGACGAGAAAAAAGAACAAGAAGTGGCTAGTGGATTAATAATGCTAAGAAACAAAGTTGCATTTGTTTTCTTAATGTCCAATGCTCTGTTCATTCTGATTGTGTTCCTGCTACAACTGAACAAAGAACGGTTGCACTTGAAGTGGCCATTGGGTGTCAAGAGTAACATTACCTACATTTCAAGCACCTGGGAAGTGAAGGTTAATCGAGAATACTTAGAGTTGGAACCAATAGGAATCGTATTTGCCTCATTTTTTGCCACAATATTGATTATCCAGTTTGTTGCTATGTTGATCCACAGATTTGAAACCTTCTCTTTGTTAATGTCTTCAGTTAAACTGAAATGTTGTGAACAAGACAAAAATCTTCCCCATAGTGACAGCTTGGCAGGTATTGCTACACATTTCCAACGACTAGATAGTTTAGAAGAATGTAACGAAACTGGGGAAAAACAAACGCTGGCAACAAGGCGAAAAACTATTCATTATTTACATTCAATGCAAGAAAAGAAACAAGAATCAAAATTTTCAGCTGAACCTGTTATGCTAGAAGACATCTTTAAAAGACGCTATTCTAGAGTGGATCTGCTTGATTCAGGTGAGAACATGTTTTGTTAACGGAAATAAAAATACGAAAATTAATACTATACATTTGTATGAACATGTAAAACCATTCTGCGACTGTAAGGTCAAAGAGTATATACAGACAATATACCATAACGTCAAAGGCTATACACATACACTATACCATAATTTCAAAGAGTATTTTCAGACACTATACCATAACGTCAAAGGGTATATACAGACAATATACTGTTACGTCTCTGGTCGATAGTTAATTTTCCGTAAAAATTCTTTCTGAAGAAACTTTAGCAATACAAGTCATTCTTAAATAAAACTGGTTTATTCTTTCTGAATACGACTTTGCAATGCACTTAATTTCCACAGTCGC